TCCCCAGTGTCCCCAATATCCCATTCCCAGTATCCCCAGTGTCCCCAGTACCGGCAGTCCGGACGTGTCCCCATCCGGTGACGGTGCAGTTGGTTCCGGGTCCGAAGGCGACCCCACAAACATGGCCCCAATATCCCATTCCCAGTGCCCCCAGTGTCCCCAATATCCCATTCCCAGTGTCCCCAGTATCCCCAATACCCCATTCCCAGTGTTCCCAGTATCCCCAGTGTCCCCAGTACCGGCAGTCCGGACGTGTCCCCATCCGGTGACGGTGCAGTTGGTTCCGGGTCCGAAGGTGACCCCGGGCCCGGGGACACAAACATGGCCCCAATATCCCATTCCCAGTGCCCCCAGTGTCCCCAATATCCCATTCCCAGTATCCCCAGTGCCCCCAGTGTCCCCAATATCCCATTCCCAGTATCCCCAGTGTTCCCAGTATCCCCAGTACCGGCGGTCCAGACGTGTCCCCATCCGGTGACGGTGCAGTTGGTGTCCCCCATGTCCCCAATATCCCATTCCCAGTGTCCCCAGTGTCCCCAATATCCCATTCCCAGTGTCCCCAATATCCCATTCCCAGTGTCCCCAGTGTTCCCAGTGTCCCCAGTGTCCCCAGTACCGGCAGTTCTGACATGTCCCCATCCGGTGACGGTGCAGTTGGTCCCGGGTTTGAAGGTGACCCCGGGTCCGGGGACACAAACGGGTCTCACGAGCCGGGAGGGGGTCGCGGGGGGGTGGAGCCGGGCCAGGGCCAGGTCGCCGCTGACGTCATCGCTGTCGCCGGCGCTGTCGCGATAGTGGCGATAGGAGGGGTGGAGCCGCACGGAGGCCACGCCCCTCACCTGAGCCTCGGCGGGAGGGGACAGGAGCTGTAGGACCCCCAGGGACACCCGGTACTCGGACACCGGGTTCTCACTGCGGGGAGAGAGGGGGATATTTTGGGGTGATTTTGGGGTAATTTGGGGAATATTTTGGGGTAATTTTGGTGTAATTTGGGCGGATATTTTGGGGTAATTTAGGTGGATATTTTGGGGTAATTTGGGGCTGTTTTAGAGGAGCTGCAGCACCCCCAGGGACACCCGGTACTCGGACACCGGGTTCTCACTGCGGGGAGAGAAATGGGGGCACATTGGAGGAATTTGGGGAATTTGGGGGATATTTTGGGGTATTTTGGGGTAATTTAGGTGGATATTTTGGGGTAATTTGGGGGGACATTTGGGGGTAATTTTGGGGTAATTTGGGGGGATATTTTGGGGTAATTTGGGGCTGGTTTAGGGGGTATTTTGGGGTAATTCGGGGAGACATTTTGGGCTAATTTTGGGTAATTTGGGGGGATATTTTGAGGCAATTTGGGGGGATATTTTGGGGTAATTTAGGTGGATAATTTGGGGCAATTCAGGGGGATATTTCGGGGTAATTTTGCGGTAATTTGGGGCTGATTTAGGGGATATTTTGGGGTAATTTGGGGGAATATTTTGGGGTAATTTGGGGGGATATTTTGGTGTAATTTGGGGTTGATTTTGGGGTGACTTGGGGCTGATTTAGGGGATATTTTGGGGTAATTTGGGGGGATATTTTGGGGTAATTTTGGGGTAACTTGGGGGGGCATTTTGGGGTAATTTTGGGGTAATTTAGGTGGATATTTTGCAGTATTTTGGGGGATATTTTGGGGTAATTTGGGGCTGGTTTAGGGGATATTCTGGGGTAATTTTGGGGGATATTTTGGGGTAATTTTGGGGGTAATATGAGGTATAACTTGGGGTAATTTGGGGGGATATTTTGGGGTATTTGGGGTAATTTAGGGGGATGTTTTGGGGTAATTTAGGGTAATTCGGGGGTAATTTGGGGCTGTTTTACTCACGGGGGAGCAGTGGGATTTGGGGGGTTTGGGGTGGATATTTTGGGGTAATTTGGGGCTGGTTTAGGGGATATTTTGGGGTAGTTTGGGGAGATATTTTGGGGTAATTTGGAGGGATATTTTGGGGTAATTTTTTTGGTAATTTGGGGGGATATTTTGAGGATATTTTGAGGTAATTTGGGGGGATATTTTGGGGTAATTTTTTTGGTAATTTGGGGGGATATTTTGGGGATATTTTGGTGTAATTTGGGGGTAATTTTGGGGTGATTTGGGGCTGTTTTGGGGATATTTTGGGGTAATTTGGGGGGATATTTTGGGGTAATTTTGGGGTAATTTGAGGCTGTTTTAAGGAATATTTTGGGGTAATTTGGGGGGATATTTTGAGGTAATTTGGGGGGATATGTTTTGGTAATTTGGGGGAATATTTTGGGGGTGCTTTAGGGGATATTTTGGGTTAATTCAGGTGGATATTTTGGGGTAATTCGGGGCTGCCTTAGGGGCTATTTTGGGGTATTTTAGGGGAGATTTAGGGGTGATTTGGGGAGGTTTAACTCACGGTGGGAAGCAGTGTGCAGCAGTGATGATCCAGGCCGGGGTGATCAGGGCCCCCCCGCAGACGTGGCGGCCCCTGAAGGCCAAACTGACCTGCCAGGGCCACTGCCCCTCCTGGGCCCCCGAGCCCCCCACAACCCGACGGTGCACAGGGGTCCCACACGGCACTGGGGGGGGG